GGTTCTTTAATCCATATTATGTCCTTTTTGAATAAATTGGAATTTGACGAGCATGCATGTCAACCACACAGGTGCCAATGATGCTACTTAATTCCCCAATGGACTGACAGTCATATTTTTATGCCATACAGAGAAAAATTCACACATTGACTACGCTTTCGCCACATGTATGCTTGTATTCACGCGGATTATTTCAATTTGGATGTACTAATTAATTTGTATTGTCATTACAAATTTCACTATTAATAACACACAGAAGGTCAAGGTAAGATTGCTTAAAATTCGTTTCTGGTGAAAATGTAGTTAAATATTTCAGCAGTTTGGCATATAAAAATGCTTCAAAGAAGACCACCTGGTTTTCTCCTAAATAATTCCCATGCTCAGGGTTGGTGTTATCTGCGGAGTTAATGACAGTTACATGTCACATTCCCTTATATATTCAAAGACAGTTCATACATGAATTTCAACGTAGTCCAAAATGACTGACATATATCTGTGATAGACAGTGTGTTGCCCATGAACCAGGTGTTAGGTTAAAAATACAACTCAGGTGTCATATGTCAACAGTTTCACATCAAAGTAAACCGAATTACTTATAAAACCTACAATACGTCTTATTTATTTTTGTATTACTTACTTACTTACTTCAGATCTGTGAATACACAATGCCATTTAGAAAGTGGTCAAATGTAACATATGTCATATTCGGGATTACACTTTCTGCGTAAAGTACATTGTAGTACTTTTGTTGGGTTGACTTCCATCCGTCAGGCTTCCACAAGCCGCGGTGGCTGTGCGGGTTAGGCGTCTGACTTTGTGTGCAGGTATTAGGTGCCTGACTCTGAGGGTGTGTGTTCGAATCCCGAATGGGACTCAACCCAACAAAAGTACTAGAATCTGTACTTTACTAAGAAAGTGTAATCCCAAATATGACATATACTTCATATATGTGGGTTACATCACAAGAAAAAAGTTGAAATGTTTACCCATTGACAAATAATACTCTTAAGTTATAAGTTATACCTCCTGATATAAACTACAAAGCCAGTAACTTTAATCCAAATTTGCCCTTCTTTAAGCAATCCCTTCATGTTTAGAATCAGTCATATGCGTTCTTAGATGTTACTGGGACGCACTACTATCGGCAGTTTTGATTTACATGCACTTTCAAACTAACTTGTAATTTTCTACTGTGCCACACAATATCTTAACTCATTAATAATTCATAGCAAATTGCGTCGTATTGCCAAACACAGCCTATCTATAGTTCTAAAAATGGCAACGGTACCAGTTCTCCATATGAATCAGCCCCATGTTACGTTGACATACGGGCAAATTTCACGGTGTGAGCTCCCGACACGGTATCCCTCCCTGGAACGTCACAGTACGTGCGGTCCCCCCTCTCGCCTCCTCGCTGTCGTAATGCCGCCTATCACTCATGCAGACCTCGGCCTTTGAGGACAGCAAAGATACACAGCCTTAACTGTCTATCTTTCAAACACGATTACTTACTTCCGTCAAAACCACTTCTCCAATGCAGACTCCTGGCGACTCGTTGGATGAAAGTTAAGTGTACAAGCAGCCGTCAGTCGAGGAACACTGGCTCAGAGCCAAACATAGGCAGATTGGATAAGGTGATTTTTTCAGATTCATGAGGTTATATTTCAACGAAATTTGGATCATTTAACCATTTTAAATTAAATTTTAGAGCTATATTCACTTTTTAAATATTTGTGTTTGTTCATTTTCCTTAATTTCGTTTAGCGTTCTTTCTGCTAATGACATCATAAACATTTCGTGTGAAAAAGAAAGAACACTATACTACTGAAAAATACTGAATAATACTTTGAATATTTTGTCTTTGATCAGTAAAACAGAGAAACTCAATTCATAACTATTTCCAGGAAGTATGTTCAAAAGTTGTTTCTTAAAAGTAATCTGCCACCAACGTTTTTAAAGTCTATTGTTGTACTAAAACCTCGAACAAAATATACTTCATTTGCAATAGTTTTAATCTGATTTTAACGTTCACAGAATGTAAATATGAATCTGCATTTATCTGGTGCATTTTGCAAGCATAATTATCATCAATTAAATCAGAAATGACCTCGTCAAGATAATCAAAATCCACCTCATGTACAAATGTATGGAATTAATTTTGATAAAATGTGCACCATCAATCACAGCTCGGAAGACTATGATATGAAACCGCCCACCCAATCCTAAAAGATCCCCGTTCACCTACACAATCAATAAGTCCCCCAGAATTCGATCGGCCATGATCTCGTTGAGAACGAGATATCGCGAGACCCGACCTTCTCATTCAGCCATATTCCTCCATTTGTTGACGATATAATGGATAATAAGACACAAGTTCACGCTTGCGTTGATGTTATAAATATTTCACACTGTCTGGGTCTAGCATTATTTACAAGTGGCTAATTACCGCGAATTGACTTAGAAGGACATACACAGTCATTGTCTAGCTCGATGCGAGGAGCTCTTCGGGTTTAAAATGGTGGGCGTGGTCATTATCGAACGTTGTCGAGAATGCGAGTTGATGAGTACGCTATGTTCGATTTGGCGTCCATTATCAGCCGAGTATAAAATGGCTCATCTTACAACGAGTGTCAAACGGTGTTAAAATACGATGAGAATAAAGACTGGTGCCTTTAAGTAAAATGTCTCTAAAATGTCGAAATGTTGATCAAATTTATAAAGTATGTCCCTGTTTAAATATCACAACCAGGAGATTTGAAGGTGTGAAAACCGTACTTTCACTATCTACCCTTTCATGGAGGATGAGAAAGTGCAATCCCAAATATAACATATGTTGCATTCTAGACTTGAGTTAAGGCTCCTTTTTAATTAATTATCTGTGGTCGGGAAGACCGACTAGGCAGCGTAGACATATGGACATTCAAAGGTTAAAATCCCGATATAGCTCCTTAATGTAACATAACCTTTCTCACAAATTTCGACAGCAATCGACTGATTCGAATGCATCGACATACACTGTGATATATCAAATGCAACTGGAGTGTAACTGAAATCAATTTCAACATCTCTACGCAATCACTGCTGAAAGCAGTCTATTGTACAGTTCCAACTATATCACAAGCATATATTTATGAATTACTATCAAACAATGATGAAGCTAGGTGTCAGCTCCACCAAGTTCAGATGCACTCAGTGTCATGTTTGGTCAAACAGATCACCGTTACAACATGGCGTGTCATAGTCATTGTTGTTCAACGCCGCACCAAGCAATATACAAGCTATATGGCGGCGGCCTGTAAATAAACCAGTCTGGACCAGACAATCCAGTGATCATCAGTTCTACGCAACTGGGATACGGTGACGTGTGTCAACCAAGTCAGGGAGCCTGACCACCAGATCCTGTTAGTCGCCTCATACGACAAGCATCGGCTACTGAAGACCAATTGTAACCCGGATGTTCACGGGTCCATGCGAGAGGGAGGCCAAAACTGACGTCATTGACATTGGCCAGTTTGACGAAAGCAAGGATCTTGATCATGAGTTGAACCCAGAACAGCTAAGGGATTCGATCTCTACAGCAAATTGCGCCCCCTTGACTCTCGGTCCACTCAAACCATCTAATGAAAAACGCACTCCTCAAACAATGCATAATTCAAAGTATAGTAAACCTACGGCTCCTTTTGGTAGAGAAGGTTTCTACCAGCGAGGACTGCTTTCCAACGATTCGTTTGTAGCGTATTTTCACTCCATTCCCTTGGTTGATGGAATTTTCATATTTCATATTAAACAGGGGTACGAGTAAAGATATAGAGGGGGAGGTGAAACAGGGTTAACGTCCCGTACAAGATTACTGTACTTATATAGCGACGCGTGGGTGTGACTGGGTAGCAGCTTGTGCCGGTCCGAACTTGTGCCTGTTTTTGAATACCACCCCACTGAGATAAATGCGTCGTAGTTTCACATGGTTGACCCAGACAAATTATACTGCCTCCAAGCCAAGTCCTTGTTTAACCCCTTCCTGCCCAACACGAGGCAGGGTAACAGTAAATACTCATCTAACGTGTTTTGGTGTGCCACAACCAGAGATTCAAACAAAGAACTTCGGCTCGCCGGACGGATACTCTGTCCACTCGACCACGAAAGCGTCGTAAGATTTTAGATATGCCAATAACGTGAACTCTGCCTTCGATTTTGAATCCAAATTCATATTTCTAAGACTGTTACTTGCGAGACAAAAGCGTCATTAAACTCATTAGGCAAGGGTCGTTAGATGATATTGACACCGTTGGAATGTATCACAGTACAATACACCTGTGAAATCAATACACCTGTGGTCATGCTTCACCTGACATTGATGTTATTGTCGCACTGTGGTAAATCTGACGTTTTACATGTTCATATTTGAAAAGTTGAATACTTTTAATTGCGAAGTATTTATACTTTTTACCAAAATATATCGTATCGGTCATGGTACTTACGCGGTGCCCTGTTACCTTACCAGTCCGAACCACACAACGGTATAACTAGACTGTCATACAGGTCGTTATACAAATATATCCATGAAAGCCCAAGAAAGTCTAGAACATGCGACAAGTCTAGATTTCCACAGTTTCAGGCTGAACATGAAGATAGTCTATGGCCTCCTTTTCATTATATTTTATGATTATTTTTTATGAACAGTTTTTTTCTTTTCTTAAAAAATGTTCATTTCAGAGGCTGGGTCTTAGTCTAAGGTGTAACCAGAAGCTATGAACTTCAGCAGAACTTGACTCGATCGCCACTTTGACCATTGTCACAACGATCTCACGGTGTGCCCCTCAATGTGGGAGGTAGGGTGGGTTTTAAGGACTAGGAATATGGGCGAACGTCATGAGGTTTTGGTATGAAAAGCCACGAATCATTTAAGAGTCGAATCTGGGTTAGGAACACCATTCAGTAGAAGATACGTTTACGAACAACGAGACAAGCTAATTAACAAAAACAGAGAGTACAGTACTCACAAATCCGTGTTTATCGGAAATGTTGTTTGTGAGTTTCAGCTTGTGGAAGGAGACAACTTTCTGCATCCATTGTTCTCCGGTGCTGGGGGAGTCGGGGTGGATGTACATCCTCTTGGGCATCTCGGGGTCAGCTTTGCCGGCCACCATCCATTTGCTGTTGTGGAACTTGTAACGGCAGTCATCGACGGCAACGGTGTCCATTAGTAGTATGTATTTGGCCTTTTTGTCCAACCCGGAGACCTTCACCTTGAACGGTGGGAACATTCGTCTGGAAAAGAAATATCAAGGTCAAAGTCAAGGTTAAATAAATTCGTTGCAGTATACGTATGTACTGAATGCTTCCCACGCCCCTTTAGAAAACTATGAATAAAAAGGTTTATTTGAAGTACACTTCAAGAGAATTTAAATGTGGAGCATGTATATCCCAATTCGCACAAATACCGAATAAACTTTTACAGCGCATGACTATACCGAGTTAAAGTGAATGAACCTGACATTCCTTTCCTAAAACGCGCGATCTTTATTTCTTTCTTTTTTTACTGCTATACAGAGCCTCCGAAAGTCTAGCACGAAAAGCAATAAACCTGTACGAAGTTGTTCTATCAAACTGAAATAAAGTCAAAGTGTTATGCTAACATTGTGGATAATTCTCTGTGTGAGATGAACGACCCTTGTGTGTACCACAGGCAATGTTCTCCTACGGTGGTCCAAGCCACAGCATACAGTCCGTGCGCTGCTTTTTATGTGGTATGACGCTAAGATATGAAAATAATAAACCTTCCCTGAGTTTCAACACCTTTTAAAACAGCTTGAGCTGTATCCAAGGGAGGAATCCACATAAATCCCAATAGCTCTATCACCAAAAGGGTCTTTGTAGGTGCTTGGGGTACTACATTTACTGCACGATGTACCCTCCAGAGGCTAATATGCTATGGAAATCGTACCCCATAAACCAATACGTTCCATTGTCGGGGGGAGAGCTATGAAACATTATTCTACAAAGCAAAATTTACCCGTTACCACACTGAGACGTACAAGCTAAATCCGACTGTCTGGCAGCTTAACAATCCTTTGTAAAAACGCTGCTTTTATTGACTGGTTCATGCTAATAAGGCGAAATAGTAGACTGGTGAATACAAATCCAAGTCAGTGTGAGAGCTCAACAATCGTCAATTTCAAACCAATATGTTTTATGGCTTTGAGCAGTATTGATCAAACAGGTGGATAATTTGAGAAAATAAAACATCGTTTGTGGGGCTTTTGTTCAAAAGAGAGTAGAATTGGTCATATTCAAGCTAATTTCAAACCCAATCGGGTTTTATGGGCCCCAGACACACGGTGAGTGTAGGTATGATCAGACAGTGAAAATTAACATAAAAGAACAATGCAAGGGCAGAGGCTGGAACAACAGATTTCTGTCCACTCTAGCACAAAGCCGACCGAGTAGCCATTAACCGATTCAGTGTTTATGTCCGTGAATATTGTTGACTTGAAACTGTCCAAAAGTTCCGATGTTCAGGACATTTACAGCCTTTAAAAAACTAAAATCCTACATATAATGAGTACATGACTAACGTAATTCGACCGTATCTTTAAATGCTTCGTAAAGTGATAATATGCGTATGTACGTACTTTATTGCGTCGGCTCATCTTAAAGGATAAGCAGGGTGTCGGTGGAAGAGAGACAATTCTTTATTTATTTTTCGGTTAAATACAAAGATAAGTAATTCCACATATTGACTCAAATAGTTCAACATGTATTAGGCTTTAAAGCAGGTAAAGTAATGAATTTAAAAAGTGTTATATGTGTGATATTGTATGTGTAAAGCTTTATTATACAGTTACAACTATAGTTATTGAAGCAGGTTGTGTGATTTGTGTGTGTAAAGCTTTATTATACAGTTACAACTATAGTTATTGAAGCAGGTTGTGTGATTTGTGTGTGTAAAGCTTTATTATACAGTTACAACTATAGTTATTGAAGCAGGTTGTGTGATTTGTGTGTGTAAAGCTTTATTATACAGTTACAACTATAGTTATTGAAGCAGGTTGTGTGATTGTGTGTAAAGCTTTATTATACAGTTACAACTATAGTTATTGAAGCAGGTTGTGTGATTTGTGTGTGTAAAGCTTTATTATACAGTTACAACTATAGTTATTGAAGCAGGTTGTGTGATTTGTGTGTGTAAAGCTTTATTATACAGTTACAACTATAGTTATTGAAGCAGGTTGTGTGATTTGTGTGTGTAAAGCTTTATTATACAGTTACAACTATAGTTATTGAAGCAGGTTGTGTGATTTGTGTGTGTAAAGATTTACAAGCTATTATACAGTTACAATGTTAGTAATTAAAGCAAGTATTGTGATTTGTGTGTGTAAAACTTTCCAAGTTATTATATAGTTACAACTATAGTTATCAAAGTAAGTTGTGCGATTTGTGTGTGCTAAGATTTACAAGCTATTATATAGTTACAATTTTAGTTATTAAAGCAGGTTGTGTGATTTGTGTGTGCAAAACTTTCCAAGTTATCATATAGTTACAACTATAGTTATCAAAGCAAGTTGTGTGATTTTGTTTGTGAAACTTTCCAAGGTATTATAAAGCTACAACTATGGTTATTAAAGCAAGTTGTGTGATTTGTGTGTGTAAATATTTCCAAGTTATTACATAGTTACAACTATAGTTATGGAAGCAAGTTGTGTGATTTTGTGTGTGAAACTTTCCAAGGTATTATAAAGCTACAACTATGGTTATTAAAGCAAGTTGTGTGATATGTGTGTGTAAATATTTCCAAGTTATTACATAGTTACAACTATAGTTATTGACGCAAGTTGTGTGATTTTGTGTGTGAAACTTTCCAAGGTATTATAAAGCTACAACTATGGTTATTAAAGCAAGTTGTGTGATTTGTGTGTGTAAATATTTCCAAGTTATTACATAGTTACAACTATAGTTATTGAAGCAAGTTGTGTGATTTTGTGCGTGAAACTTTCCAAGGTATTATATAGTTACAACTGTAGTTATTAAAGGTAGTTGTTTGATTGTGTAAAGCTTTTCTAAGATATTGTAAGTTACTTTTCTAAGCTGTGTGACTTTGTGTGTAAAGTTTTTCCAAGGTTGTTATATAGTTACTAACTATAGCTGCAGGTTTTGAAGCAAGCTGTGTGACATATCCACGCACTAGTGCATGCTCAAAGTATTTCCAAGGTTGTTATATAGTTACTAACTATAGTTATGAAAGCAGGTTTTTGTGAAATGTGTGTACAAGATTCAGTTCAGTGTGTAAGGTTTTCCAATGTTGTTATATAGTAACTAACTATTGTTATGAAAGCATGTTTTTGTGAAATGTGTGTACAAGATTCAGTTCAGTGTGTGTAAAGGTTTCCAAGGTTGTTATATAGTTACTAACTATAGTTATGAAAACAAGTTTTTGTGAAATGTGTGTACAAGATTTAGTTCAGTGTGTGTAAAGTTTTCCAAGGTTGTTATATAGTTACTAACTATAGTTTTGAAAGCAGGTTTTTGTGAAATGTGTGTACAAGATTCAGTTCAATTCAGTGTGTGTAAAACTCTCCAAGGTTGTTATATAGTTACTAAGTATATTTATGAAATCATGTTTTTGTGAAATGTGTGTAGAAGATTCAGTTCAATTCAGTGTGTATAGGTTTACCAATGTGGTCACATAGGTACTAACAGTAGTTATCAAAGCAGGACTTTCTGAAATTTGTGTACAAGATTCAGTACGATTCAGTTATGGGCAGGCATAAGAAATAATAGCCTGATGTGACATCCCCTCGAACTGAATATATCCCGATGGAGGCTGACTTAAAACACACTGTGTCGTTGTCAATATAAACATGTTTTGCCAAGACAGCAGTGTCATGTATGTAACAATTTAACCTCAAACATTCCAAGAAGAGCATACTACAGCCTTTTTGCTATTTATATTATTTTTGTTACACATTCTCTTTCAACTTGAAAATAACATAGCATAAACATGTCGTAAACTTACATGCTTTGTCAGCGACACACTCAGTCTTGTGTGTGTCTGAATCTCTCTCTCTCTCTCTCTCTCTCTCTCTCTCTCTCCCTCCCTCCCTTTCTCTTTCTCTCTCTCTCTCTCTATCTCTCTCTCTCTCTCTCTCACTCTCTCTCTCCATCATTTAAACTATTAATAATACCTTAGAGATTTGAGCAAGTCTAAGACCATTCGTGAATGAGATTCCCTGTACATGTAGAGGAGTCCCATTGACTGCAGTGTAAAAACCTTCAAGTATTTTTTCTAGTCATGTTATTTTGCAACTCCAGTTATTACCGTCATTCGACCTAGTAAATGCTTCGTCGCCAATACCAGCAGCAAAATAAAGGCTATGTTTCGTGTGTACCAAACCACTCGTATCTTCAACTTGTCGGCAAAACCAACAAGACTTGAAAAAAATCACTTGCAAAATAATCATTGTAAATTTTAAATAAATACATTAAATTGTTTTAACAAGTTTAATTTATTTTCCTTTTTTTAAAAGAATATGCGTGTATATTCATAAAATCTTTGTATAAAGAAGTATTATTTTTTATGTATGATACATTTGTAACTTTTTTGTATTTTTTTGTGTTGTGTCGATGAGTACTGTATTAACTATATGTATAATAACCGATCCATGTATCAAGCCAGGCTAGGTATTCCACAAAACCAATGTACATACCAACTCAAAGTATTACGTATATTATCTCCATAATCAGTATAATTGATAAAGCTAATATTTTACGATAGTGGCTAAAGTTTTCAAAACATGTTCCAAATGTACATATTACAATTACATAATTTATGTAAGAAATTTCGCTCCTCACGCCGAAGACCCGGGTTCGATTACCCACATGGGTGCAATATGTGAATCTAGTGTCCACTGTCGTAATATTGCTGGAATATTGCTAAAAGCGGTGTAAAACCGTACTCACTCACTTATTCGAAGAACGGTAAATGTTAATGTAAATTTTCTGTTCAATAAACAGTATACTTAAAAAAGAATATCATCATACCTACAAACTCCAATTTGGAAATACGACACTTGTGAACACAATATAATCGATTGCAGCTCCTTGTGTCATAACACAATGTTACCTCCTTCAACACATTTACTGGCCAGGACACAAAACAAGGAGATGAAATCAATTAGAGGGTACCGTCAACACAACCGATAAAACGTATGTCAAGGTTTTATTGTGTCATCTTAAGCCTCTAAACATACCATTAGATATCCATTGTCATT